GTGCTGCTGGCGGAGGCGGCGGTGCCTTGAGACACTCCCCCCAAACCAGACTATGGGGTTCCAGTTGCCGCCTCTTGCGGCGAATTGCCACGCAAGCTGGGCAAGTTGCTGTTTCTCGCGTAGCTGCTCCGTCTGGGAAGAACGAAGGAACCACCGCTCCGGCGTCGTACTTCTCTGGCTCCGGAAGAGGCAGTGGAGCGTCAGGCGGATCCCAGTTGCTCATGTTGATCTTGACCCAATTGAGCTCCTCCTCGTTTAAACCTTGGGGCTGCAAGTTGGTTTTGACCTTCACCGCGCCTCGCTGGTACGTCCACATCCCGTTCGGGGCAGTGCTGCTGGGGCCGAACACCGTTGCTGGCTCTGCGCGTGGCAGAAAGGCGTTTCTCGGAGGAGGGTCGTGCACCAACATCGCCCTGGTACCGAAAGGTATCCGAGGGTACTCTCCCAGTCCAGCGTCTGCTCTGCACAACTGAGTTGCTGCAAGTGTCGCTACTCCCCGCCAGGTGGTCGGAAGTCTGCTGCCGCTCAAGAGGTACCGGGCCCTGCGCTTCAAGATGCCCACGGCCGACTCGGCAGAGGCATTCCCGTTAGGGTCGTAGCCTGCTGTCGATGTTTTGTGGATGCCGTGGTAGGAGCAAAAGTTGCTGAGCTCCTCGTTCATGAACTCGGACCCTTGGTCGCTGCGCAAGCGGAACACGATCTCGGTCGGGAAGTTGGCGTGGTCATTGTTGACCTGGGCGAGCAGATGTTGCACTGCCTTCGGGGCCTCGCTCTTCGCGCCCAGAAGGGCGACGTAGATCAGAGCCGGTCGCGGCGACGTCTGCCCGGCAGTTCCGCCCGCCTGCTCCTGGCCTCCGTCTGGCCCAGAAGTCTGCACAGCCACGTCACAAGAAGACGCTGTCTCATCTGGCCATTGTCAAGACCAAGAAATAATGACACGGATCTTTTGTAATCTGTCCTCCTGGCCGGGGCGTTGGCTCATGAGGGCCACTCAGGTCCAGTACATACGCCCAGAGACACGTTCGACCGGCGATGGTGCTGTCGACGCCGTAGTGCGGCACCCTGCCATAGAGCACCGTCGGCAGAATACTTCTGATGTTGCCACGGTTTGTCCCGGAGCTCGCCCCCCACCAGGTCTTGCAACTCCCGGCGCTGATGGGAAGGCTGAGGTAGAGGCGGCCCGGCTACGGCCTCCTCGCTGTCAGGGGACTCTCCGGCTCCCGTTCCCACCGTGCCAGTGCACGCCACAGAAGTAGCTGGCATGCCCACAGCCTGCTGCACTGCGGCCCCGAGAGAATCCACCCTCGCAGCCATCGTGGCCAACATGGCTAGCATGTGCGCCTGCATGGGTTCACAACTCTGCGCTGCCGGGTTGACTCGTTCTGAACGCTCGTCGAAAGGAAACCCTCCCGACACATTGCCTGAGCAAACACGGCTACGGAACCAATCGAAAAGCGCCCCTCCCGACGGATCCTTTTCACATCCCATACCACGTGTCTGAATCGAGCTATGGTGTCTATCGAAAGGAAGCCCTCCCGACGGATCACCACGGCGACTATCGAAAGGTAACCCTCCCGACCGATCACCCGCGCACCCCAACCCATGTGTTTGTATAGTATGTGATAACGGTGATGACTGTGAGCATGATGCAGATGAAGCCACTTGAACCACTGAGCTCTTTCTCAACACTGGATGCTCTTGTAACCAAAGACCCATGATCATATTCCACTGAACACCGAAGTCTTTGTCCACTGCAATCCGGCGTAAGTCACCAAGCACGCACTCGATCCTCGAAGCCTTACTCAAACCAGCCAGTTTTGAAAGAGAAGGTGTGTACCTCCACCCTTCAGCTGGATCAAGCCCGGCTGGACAGTCCAAGAGGATTCGCCGGCACTCTTCCTTGGGGTACTGTGCCGCAGATGCAGCGCGACCGGCCCCTCGGAGGTGGAGGTGATCGTGGCCGCCACGGCACTGCACGCTCAAGTTCGGTAGCTCGTGAGAGCCTTGGAAGTGTGACCTTTTCCGAATGCACTGCCCTTCGAGTTGTCCACCACAAGCGCATTGGTCCAGCAATGCCATGTGAAACGGCATCGTCCGTAGAGGCTCGAGCGGGCTCTTGGTGAAGATGTCGGAATGCGCGCTGTCCTCGATGATGTAACGTCTACCCATCAGTAACTGCAGGAAACAACACACCGCTAAGAACCTCAAGCATGGTGTCTCGGATCGCCTCTTGGTCTCCAGAGTGTCTGCTGGTAGGTTTCTGGTGTGGTTTCCCCACGGAGCGCAATTCGGCGAAGCGAAAAGAGTCTCCACGCCGGGGGATATGATCGCGTCCACGATGGTCGTCTGGTCGTCCGCCCTCCCTGTGTTCCAACCACATCGGTAGTCGACTGGTGGTAAGTGGGGAACGTCAGTGTTCCGAGCGTGGTCGCTCAGCGCCGATGACCCACTGCAGTGCTCCCACACACGGGCCATGCCAGTAGAACCCCCCTTGGACTGCACCGCGTCGTCTCCCAGCTCCTCAATCAAAGCGAGCAGGGGTGATGATGGCGTCGGCGTCGTCGTTGTAGTACAGATCCGGCAAGTTGCGGTACTTGGACTGGATGTTCTGCACACCCTTCTTGCCGAAGTCGTCCACGAGGTGCTTGAGCTGCGACCTCAGCTGCTTCTGGTCCGCTGCCGTCCTGGAGGCTCTGGCGGCTGTCGGGGTCTCTGCCTGGCGCCCGCTGCGGCCGGGCTGAAGGGCGTCTGGTAAATCGTTCAAGACGAGGTTCAAGTCGCTCTTGAGGATGCACGGTAGAGAACCCCACGTTTGGATCTTGAAGACCCTGCCCTTCGGCGTCCGCAAGACGCGCTGGTCGCCCCGCTCAATCGTGCAGCCGCGTTCCCACAGGAACCCTTCTGGGAAGAGATCAATGTTGTCACTGTTATCCTCCCAAGGCACGAAACATCGCGGTACGCCCTTGCGCCCGGTATCCCGTCGGCACTTGCACTGGCCGTGCGCCAGACTGAGGGTATGCGGGTACTCTGCGTCAGAGACGGTGCCCTTCTGGTGAATCAGGTGCACGTTCGCCCAGCTGTCCAAACCAACGGCCTGCCTCGGAAACCTCGCGGTTGTCGTAGCCGAAGAGGCCCTCAGAGACTCTCCGTCGAAGGCCGCCTTGGCCTGGGCGCTGGTCGCCGGCGGTGCGCCTGCAGGTTGTTCAGCAGAAATGGCTGCGTTCGCCTTGCCCTTGTCCTTGTTCTTTGTCTTTACCTTTTCCTCCTTTTGGGTGTCCTTTGCCTCGTCCTTTGGCTCCTGCTTTCCCTGCGGCTGCTGCTTGCTCCTTTCTCTTGCGGCACTCCTCCCAGGCGGCTTCACGGTTAGGGTCGGCTCCGCCTCCCGGCGCCTTGCAGTCTTTCCCCCTGTGGTCCTTGGCGCCGCAAGTAATGCAGCGGTCCTCCGTGACAGGGAAGCCGGGGTGGGCAAAATGACAACTAATGCCGCGCTGGCAGACGCCACGCTCTGTCCAGGACCTGCAGGGGCTGGCCCAGCTAGAAGTCGTGGAAGAGTAGCGAACGGCAGCGGCATTCCCAGTAGTCGGTGCTTGTTGCGTCGGTTGCGCCGCTGTTTGCCGGAGAGCGGCGGCGCGTTTCTTTTCCGTCTCCTTGATCTGGTGTTGGCGCGCCTTCTGGTTGTCACTGAGAGGTAGTCGGGTGTTCAAACCAACGCCCCCATGAAGAACCAACGCTCCCAGCTCCGCCTCGGCGAAAGCAGCGACGTGTTCTATCGCCTGCAGGGTAATCACGTGAGGCAGACCAAGTTGATTGCGAAGATTAACCCATCTATGGTGGAGCTGCGGTTCGGCATTGTCGAATACAGCACAAAATATAGATTCCATCGCTCTGTAAGCCAGAAGAAGATCTGGAGGGTAGCAGCCCAGCTCGGCACACCTCCGGAGATTCTCCTTCCACTTCAAAAGCTCCACCTGGGCCGCGCGCGGCTGTGAGCACACGCTCGGGCTCAGCACTGAGTTGATCAGATGAACCTTCTCGTCCGCACCGCCAGGGGGGAAAGTCTTCATCACGTAGAAGAGAAGAACGTGTGATGGGTCCACCTTGCCTTGGCGGGCCCTCAAGTTTACCCAATCGCGGATGTCCTTCGGCAGCGCGTCGAGTATGCGTGGCCTGATCCACGCTTCTACCTGCAACCATGCCTCCGGCATTGGAGCAGTAGGGAGAACCGCCTCCCGCTGGTGAATCGACATCTTAAGAAACATCTTATATGCCTTCTCGGCCTCGCGCTGGCACCACTTCCTCCACTGGATCAAGTGCGGGCCAGCCGGGTTTATGGCCTGGTCGACAGAAATCCGCCAACTCAGAAGTCTACCTGCTCTGGAAGAAGGATCTCCCATCTCTAGCTTGGGAAACTCTGGCACGAACGCCTGAATAGACTTCATCAACATATTCAGCTCCGCCGGGCTCAAAGACTGCGGGGGCGCATCCCCGTCAAGAAGCTCAGGTGGAGTCGGCGCCAGTCCTCCGAGTGCTCCCAGAAGCGGCGCTCCACAACTCGCGCTCTGCGGCTGCCGTGCAGATGGGCCCTCTGCCCCGGCTGCTGCGTGGCCCCCCAGGGACCGCGCGGGCTGTGCACCTCCCAGGAAAGAAAACACGTCACTGTCGTTAGTGTTCGGAGGAATCGTCGGTGGCGTAACGGCGACCAGCGAAAGTGGCTGCACGCATGGAGCAACGCTGCCGCTTACGAAATTCTCCTGGTTGACACTGACCTCCGTGCCGCGGGGGTTCACAGGCAGACGACTGGCCAACGCTCCGCTGCGCGATGCGCCTGCGCCTCGGGAGAGGATGCCCTGGTCGTCGGCGATACCCTGCTGAATCAGTCCTGGTGGTACTTGTTGTTCCTGCCCAGGAACATCGGGTCGTGGCCACAACCCTGGGTCCCCAGACGTCGTCGTAAGGTTCGCCTCCCTCCTGGGTAAGCTCGCCGTCGCGCAGCCGCCGTCCTGCAGCGGGAGCCTCGCCGTAGGTGCGGTGGATGGCTGCGGTGGCAGCTCCTGCGGCTGCCGGGCCCCCTGGCCCTCTGTAATGGCCAACAAGTCGTCGGCCACGTTTCCTGCCCCAAAAATCGGGCCCTGATCCCTCGCTGGCGCGTCGTACCACTCGGCGCTCGGATCGGGATCGCTGCGCCGGCCTGCCGCGCTGCGCGGCGTGCCGCTGGCACTCAGCTGGTAGTGCTCTGCTTGGTGTGGTGCGGTGTTGCTGTCGGGGAACTCGTCCTGAACCTGAACAGACTGCCGGAAAGCCCATTCGAACTCTACCTGCTCTACTCTGCCACTGAGACGTTCGACCGACTCTTGAAGGTTCTTCACTGTAGTCGACAAGCCCTCCACCACCGACGTCAAACTCTGTATCGCGTCGCTGAGCTCGTTGCCGTACTGCGGGGCAGAAGCAGAAGCCCGGCCAAGCCCATCGGAAGGAAGCCCTCCCGACGAAACCTGGCCAGGGGCCCTATCGGAAGGCTTCCCTCCCGACCGGTCCCCAGGTCCATCGGAAGGAGGCCCTCCCGACGGATCCAGGCCAGGGGGCCTATCGGAAGGCTTCCCTCCCGACTGGTCCCCAGTCGTCGGTGCTGCGGTGCCGTCGTAGGCACTGTTGTAAGAGCTCGGCGGCGTGAGTTTCGTGGCGTCGTCTGCGGCCTTGTCGTCCAAGGTCTGTGCCTCGGTTGGTTCCTGCAGGGCTGGTAGTGGTTGAGCTGGCTCTGGCGCTGGCGCTTCCTGTCGGCGGTAGAACGAGCTTCCAGGGAAGCCCACGCAGTCTCCGGAGCGAAGGTGGCGGGCGTGGCCTAAGTTGGCCGTGTGGCACGCCAAGCAGTGGCCACCAGCGGCGCCGGCGGCGCGGTCGAAGGACTGGGCCCGCCTGGCGGCTCTCTTCGGCCTGAGAAGCTCGCGGCTGGTAAGCTGTCCAGAAGCAGTGGTTGGCTCTGCTGGCGGCTCGGGGGCTGGCAAAGCCAGCGGCTCTGAAAAAGTAGCTCCTTCCCTAGCCCCTTGCACTACTCCACGCACCAGCGAAAGCGCTGCACCAGTAGCGGTCGCCGCTGCACCTCCGATTGCCACTCCTACAGAAGCTGACAGACCAAGTGCTTCTGTGGCCCGCCCTCGCCAGGTAGTAAGTTGCTCAGCCAGAGAACGTGTCCACTGTTCCCGTCGTAGACCATTTTCATACGAATCGTACTGTTGTGTGACTCCGGCCATACATGTACCACAGAACGGGTACCCCTGGAAGTACTCGAGGTTGATACATTGTGGGTGGCCGAACACGCCGCACTGCGTGCACAGCGCAGGTTCGTACACTTGTACATGGCATCGTTGACAGCTCGCGTGTACACCAACCAATAATCCTTCATTCGGCGTTGGGCTCATAACCCTTGTCACTGCTACTAGGGGTAAATCTTCTGACATGACGATCGCAGTGGAACGAATAGAAGGATGAAAGGCGAGTACCTTTTCCAGTCAGTGTGCGCTCGGCTTGGCCTTGAGCCAAAGCGGTTGCAGTAGCAGCTGGCGCGCGCGTGCCAGACGTAGCTGGCTTGCCAACCGGCGATAGACAATATGTTATTACATTGACTAAAAAAAGTAGCTGCGGACAGCACAAATGCATGCATCATCGATAGATCGGCGATGGCTTTGGCAATAAAGTCTACAAACAGTTCTGCTTGTGTGACACGCTATTCACATGGCTTGGGTCCTGGAGCCGATCGAAAGGAAGCCCTCCCGACAGGTCTCCGGACGTCTACACCCCGTGAAGGGGTCGAGAGCCCAGGGAAAGAAGAAACGACCCAAGCAGGGACGGGGTCGAGAGCTCCCGGGGCGTCGCGCCTCCAGCGCGCGTATGCCGAAACAGTTTATCAGAACTATAATACACACCATGCCTCAAGATGCTATGCACATGATTCTGCATTGCTAATCTGCTCACTGATCCGGGTGCGACGCGCATGACCACTCAGAAACGTGGGGTTCAAAGGATTCACGTGAAAACGATGAGGAGGAAGAAGAGGAGGAGGAGGAAGAGGAGGAGGATAAGGAAGAGGAGGAGGAGGATGAGAAGGAAGAGGAGGAGGAGGAGGAGGAGGAGGAGGAGGAGGAGGAGGAAAAGGAGGAGGAGGAGGAGGAGGAGGGGAGGAGGAGGAGAGGAAAAGGAGGAGGAGGAGGAGGAGAAGGAAGAGGAGGAGAGGAGGAGGAGGAGGAGGAGGAGGAAGGAGGAGAGAAGAGAGAGGAGAAAAAGAGGAGGAGGAGGAGGAGGAGCAGGAGGAGGAGGAGGAGAAGGAGGAGGAGGAGGAAGAGGAGGATGAGGAGGAGGAGCAGGAGGAGGAGGAGGAGAAGGAGTAGTCCAGGGGGGCCTTGGTCGGCCGCCCCCGTGGCCAGGCCGCCGCAGAGCCCTCGCCCGTGGCCCCCCCGGGGGGAGAGGAGGCGCCTCCGGGAGCCGCGAACTGGACGGCCGCCTGCCCGCCCCCCGGGGCGGCGACCGCGGCAGCCACTATGCCCTCGTCCTCGTGCGCGCGCGCGCCGAGAGGGGGCGGGCTGCGAGAACGGCTGCGAGAGCGGTGGTAGAGGGAGGGAGGCGAGGAGGAGGAAGACGAGGAGGAGGAGGAGGAGGAGGAGGAGGAGGAGGAGGAGGAGGAGGAGGAGGAGGGGATGGAGGAGGAGGAGGTCTCCCTTCAGGCCCCGCTCCGACTTGGCACGCTACATGGTTGTTCGGCTCTGGGGGCCGAGCAATGATGCGCCGTGCCTTTCCTGGGTCGATGGTCGACGATGCACCAACGCGGAACGGTGCACACAGGTCGTCCGCAGAAGGGAAGGGGGGGAAGCTCGTCGGGAGCAGCATGGGCCTCTAGGGTAATGCCGGGCGTGCCCCAGGGTCGGCCAGGCGCAAGGGGAGCGGGAACTGGAGGGGGTGGGGGAAGGAGGGGCGGAGGGGTGAGCCAGCTTTCCGGACTGCGTCAATGCGTGAAATCCCCTGGGGGATGGAACGATGACACACTAACCCCTGGTGTCTCCACGAAGATGGTCGCGTGCAGCTCGAGTGGCGCAACCCCCCGTGATTCTCAGCTGCCTCCAGCCTCCAGAGAAGGCCCAGGACTGTCCAGGAGGGCATCAGAATGCAGCCGAACACATGTGCGCGCGGGTCAGAAATGATCGACGTCCGCGCTGTTAGGAGGGACCGTGAGATCTGGCCGAAATCGGTGCGTTCCCTCGAAACGACGACCACATCATCGATCAGAATTTCGGCCACCGTCCATATGAATACCTATGACCACCGCAGGCAGTATCCTGCCTCCTACCTCCTTTGCTCCTCCTCCTCCTCCTCCTTCGCCTTCTCCTGCTGCGTCTCCCTCCTCCCCCAGTGCCACGGCACTTGTTTTGCGAGACTCGCCCGTACGCGGCGACGACGCGGAGCTCCCCAAGGCCGAAAGAGGATCAGAACGGGGACACGAATGAGAAAAACGAGAATGAGAAGGAGAAGAACGCAGCGAACGACAGGGAGGTCGAGAAGGCTCGCAGGGCGAGGAGCAGGAGTAGAACGAGAGCGAGGAGAAGGACGATAAGGACGGAGAGGAGGAGGAGGAGGACGAGGAGGTCTGAAAAGCGAGGAAGAGGAGGACGACAGCAAACACAGGGAGAACGGGGAATCGCACGAGGAGTTCCAGGCGCCCAGCGCTATTCGCAGGCTACTGAGAGTATCCACAGAGGCTCTGGAATATTGGTTGGACATCTCAAACCTACCGCCCGATCCTGTTGATGAAGCACGAAGCGAGGCCCGATGCGGCTCGATGGCCTCAGCAATTCTCGACCAGATCGTCACCACCGTCGTCGATGTCGAAACAATCGCCGCACTTCGAAGGCGTTATCGTCGTCGATGTCGTCGTCGTTGTCGTCGGCAGCTCTCAAAGGTCCCTTGAGATCCCAGGCCGAGAGCTCTCCATAGCGCCCTAGATGTCGAACAGAACCGCAGCAATACAAATAATCCAAATGGAAACACAAAAAGCACGAACACGCCCCTGGCTCGGGCTGGGTTGAGGGGGCTATGCATCGCCGATAGAGCGGCGACGAGTTCCCGATTTCTCGGATCCGCATTTTCTTTGGACGGGTGGTCTATCGCTCTCCTATCGGCGCTGAATGGGCGATTGGGGGTCGATGCATTCCCCCATGAGCCGACCCCCTCTGGAAATGCCGAAAGGATACCCGACACTAGGAGACGCACATGTGTACACTAAGATATGCGGACCGCCACCCGAAACATAGCGTACAGATGTTTTGGACGTCTCACGCTCGCAAGCCTACCCCGAATAATGTTGTCCACTATGATGAGCGCGGTGGCGGTGGCGAACGCGGTATAGCAGTCGTGAGAAACTGCGATCCCCCCGCTCCCAAATGAAAGCTCCTTCTGGAGCTCGGCCGCGGCGTGCCGCAGCGCCACACCGCACTGGCGGACGGCGGCCGAGACCACCTAATCGGCCGGGTCGGGCGAGAGGACGGTGATGGCTACCTACCAGACCACCCCAACCCAACCCGAAGACCCGAATTTCGGGTTGGGGGTGGTACGGGTTCCATGTGTGGTTTCTTCATGTTCCCCGACCCCCCCCACTGGAAATGGACGGTAACTTGAGGCCTTCGGGTTAGGTTGGGGTGGTTTGGTGGGCGGTGGGGTGGTATCGATGGTCCTCAGAACGTGTGCACCCTGACTCACCCTCCACACCTGCCGACCGGCAAATGCCTGAGTTTTTCCCAACCATCCTGTGGTGTTGGGTCCTCGTTTTGAAGAAACGATCCCCGCGTTCTCCCCTCCTCCTCCTCTGCCCCCTCCTCCCTCCTCCCTCCTCCATTTCGGCACACCCCTCACACGTTTCGTGGCCCCATAAGGAGCTCCACCGAGGGCTCCAGTGGCTGCGTTCGCATGGCGGCACCGCACCCATTTCGGCACACCCCTCACACGCTTCGTGGCCCCATAGGGAGCTCCACCGAAGGCCCCAGTGGCTGCGTTCGCATGGCGGCACCGCACCCATTTCGGCACACCCCTCACACGTTTCGTGGCCCCATAGGGAGCTCCACCGAGGGCCCCAGTGGCTGCGTTCGCATGGCGGCACCGCACCCATTTCGGCACACCCCTCACACGTTTCGTGGCCCCATAGGGAGCTCCACCGAGGGCCCCAGTGGCTGCGTTCGCATGGCGGCACCGCACCCATTTCGGCACACCCCTCACACGTTTCGTGGCCCCATAGGGAGCTCCACCGAAGGCCCCAATGGCTGCGTTCGCATGGCGGCATCGCACTCATTTCGGCACACCCCTCACACGTTTCGTGGCCCCTGAGGAGCTCCACCGAGGGCTCCAGTGGCTGCGTTCGAATGGCGGCACCGCGCCCATTTCGGCACACCCCTCACACGTTTCGTGGCCGCATAAGGAGCTCCACCGAAGGCCCCAATGGCTGCGTTCGCATGGCGGCACCGCACCGGCACACCCCTCACACGTTTCGTGGCCCCATAGGGAGCTCCACCGAGGGCCCCAGTGGCTGCGTTCGCATGGCGGCACCGAACCCATTTCGGCACACCTCTCACACGTTTCGTGGCCCCTTAGGGAGTTCCCTCTCATTCGTTCAACCTGCTTTGCGGTACTCGTAACTGCATATGGTTGGGTCCATCGCCAGGATAATTGTTACTTCCCGAGGATGCGCAACAGTACACAAAACACTGCAATCTTCGGAGCTCCGCGCGGTTTCTAAGGATAGGCTCTGGACTTCCCCCTCTGTTGGTCCTCAAAGAGATCACAAAATCAGCCACGGTGGAGAGTCAGGGTAAGCGCCAGCGTGTGCTTGTCCATCGAAACCCTCCGCTAAGGCGCAGGCGGTGTGGTGATCTCCGGAGCTGGACGGGGCAAACATGTGTTGGGCTGGCACGCGTCCTGCGCCTCCCAGAGCAGCAGGCGCCGGTGTATCGAAGAAGGCGCCCGTCGGCGGAGCCCAAACCAGCTGCACGCAGCAGGTTGCCTATCCCCCCCGCTCCCCTTCCCTCTCCCCCACCCCGTCGTCCGGCACGGATCGGGGAAGGGGGCCGGGCTGATGCTTGGCTCCCTGTTGCTACCCCAGGTGCTGGCGCCAGGGGGTGCGGGAAGGGGGGCGGAACGGCAGAGAGGGGAGGGAGGAGGAGTAGGAAGCAACTCCTGGGAGGTCTTCGCAAAGACGGTATGTGTGCGGCTATTTCGCCACATTACGAAGGCCACTGAGCCCGAATAGGCCGGACTGGGCCATGTTAAACCCAATTAGGCGGGAAAATAAGAACTGGCTGGATTGTGTCGGATTGTGCTGGCATGCGACCGCGAATGCACCAGCATCGATACCACTAAGGCAGAATCCCACCATAACTTTAGGGCGTGAGTGGTTTAGCGGGAGGAGCTCTCCTTCCAACCTCCTTCCCCTTCGGGGAGGGGTCTATCACTGTTCCCAATTAATACCCCCAAAGCGATCTGCAGCCAACCAGGACAAATGAGAACACACACCTCCCGCAATGCTGTCATTCAACTAAGAGCAGCACGCTTGGGTCAACCTCGTGAGCCCCGCGAGCACTTTGCACTGTTTGTTGATCGGGACGTCGGGGGTGCCCTCATATTGCCTGCTTAGCGCACAGACGCAATCCCTATCAGAGGAACATACAGCATGCACTTCGCGACTAACCAAATGTGGATCATGCGCGGCCACCCCGCGATTACTGTCCATTGACGCTTGGCACGGGCCGTGGGGGTGGTGGCATATTGTCTGCTGCGCGTAGGCCCACCAGACACCATGATGGCCTCCCCGTCGCGACTGTGCACTGGCTTTCGATAGGGGATGGTGAGGGCCGACATGTTTCCCTATGTGTGCTGTCGCGTGCGCGGGCGCACCTGGCACACTCTGCGCGTGCCCCGGACGTGGCGCACCTGTCGCGGCTGGAACATGCGGCACACATGGCACACGTGGCGCATCTGGCGCTCGAGGCGTGCCTGGCACGCTTGGGGCCCAGAGGTGCCTGGCGCACATGGGGAGCCCGGCACGCGCGGCGCACTCGCCATATCGCGCACATGAAGTCTGTATTGGTTCCAGTAGCTGCCCATGCATAGGCGGCCGCTGAAAATGATGGGGCCCAAGTGCTACGTATGCAGCGGGACGGCGGGTTGGGAGTGAGCCGGGCAGCTTCCGGGCGGGGGGGGGGCCCTTCCGCCAGGGGGTGGAGCGCCCAAGATGGCCTCGGCGAGGAAGCCTAAATCATGGATTTGACTTAGGCTTTGACCGCACGTTGGCTTCGTGGGGAGGGGCGTAATCGAGGAGCTCCCCTCCTCAGATCGATCTCCTCCAAATGGCCCCCGCAGTTTCCAAAGGTGCTCCAAGAGGGCGCCGAGATGTGCCCAGGATGCTCCAAGAGACCCTCAAGAGGCTCACAAGAGGCCCGAGAGAGTGTTTGGTTTTCCCGGCGGGCCGTACTAGTACGCCAGAGTACGCCTACTAATACGACCCGGCGGGTCGTACTAGTACGCCGAAGTACGCCTACTAGTACGACCCGCGGCGCCCGGGAGGCGTACTCGTAGAGCAGAAGTACGCCTACTAGCACGACCCGGCGGGTCGTACTAGTACGCCGAAGTACGCCTACTAGTACGACCCGCGGCGCCCGGGAGGCGTACTCGTAGGGCCGAAGTACGCCTACTAGTACGACCCGGCGGGTCGTATTAGTACGCCAAAGTACGCCTACTAGTACGACCCGCGGCGCTCGGGAGGCGTACTCAGTGGTCCGAAGTACGCCTACTAGTTCGCCCCGCTGGGTCGTACAAGTACGCCGAAGTACGCCCACTAGTACGACCCGCGGGGCGAAGGAGGCGTACTCCCAGGGCCGAAGTATGCCTACTAGTACGACCCGGCGGGTCCTACTAGTACGCCGAAGTACGCCTACTAGTACGACCCGCGGCGATCGGGAGGCGTACTCGTTGGTCCGAAGTACGCCTAGTAGTTCGCCCCGCTGGGTCGTTCTAAGACGCCGAAATACGCCCACTAGTACGCCCCGCGGGGCGAAGGAGGCGTACTCCTAGGGCCGAAGTACGCCTACTAGTACGACCCGGCGGGTCCTACTAGTAGGCCGAAGTACGCCCACTAGTACGACCCGCGGGGCGAAGGAGGCGTACTCCTAGGGCCGAAGTACGTCTACGAGTACGCCCCGGCGGGTCCTACTAGTACGCCGAAGTACGCCTACTAGTACGACCCGCGGCGCTCGGGAGGCGTACTCGTTGGTCCGAAGTACGCCTACTAGTTCGCCTCGCTGGGTCGTACTAGTACGCCGAAGTACGCCCACTAGTACGCCCCGCGGGGCGAAGGAGGCGTACTCCTAGGGCCGAAGTACGCCTACTAGTACGACCCGGCGGGTCCTACTAGTTGGCCAGAGTAGCCCTACCAGTACCCCCCCCCAACCCCCCAGGGCCGTACTAGTACGGCAAAGTAGCCCTACTAGTAGCTCTGCCGGGGCGGACTTTCGGGGACGTCTCGAGCAGAGGCTCACTTCGCCGGTCGTACTAGGAGCCCAAAGTAGCCCTACTAGTAGCCCCGGCGGGGCGGACTTTCGAGGATGTCTCGAGCGGAGGCCACCTCCGCCAGTCGTACTAGTAAGCCAAAGTACCCTACGAGTACGCCCCCGCCACGCTCCCAGGGACCGTACTAGTAGCCCAAAGTAGCCCTACCAGTAGCCCCATCCAGGGCGAACTTGTGAGTATGTCTCAGGGGGGCTCTCTCCGCAATTCGTACTAGTAGGCCAAAGTAGCCCTACTAGTACGCCTCCGCCAACCCCCCAGGACCGTACTGGTAGGCCAAAGTAGCTCTACTAGTAGGCCCGCCGGCAATCCTCCCGGGCCCGTACTAGTAGGGCTACTTCGGCCCTACTAGTAGCACCGCCGGGGCGGACTTTCGAGGATGTCTCGAGCGGGGTCCCCCTCCGCTGGTTGTACTAGTAGGCAAAAGTAGCCCTACTAGTACGCCCCGGCGGGGCGGACTTTCGAGGATGTCTCGAGCGAGGGCCCCCTCCGCCGGTCGTACTAGTAGGCCAAAGTAGCTCTACTAGCACGCCCCCGCCAGACCCCTCTGGACCGTACTAGTAGGCCAAAGTAGCCGCACTGGTAGCCTCGCCGGAGCGGAATTTCGAGGATGTCTCGAGCGGGGGCCCTCTCCGCCGGTCGTACTAGTAGGCCAAAGTAGCCCTACTAGTACGCCCCCGCCAGCTCCCCGGGTGTGTGAGGGTGAGGAGGACCAATGGACCGACCCCACCCCCGAGTGTCCGTCGGTAGACGATGAGGGACGATGGTTTTACCCAACGTACCCCCAAGTATCGAGTACCTGTCATCCGAGCCAAGAGGGGCGATGGATATGAGCAAGATAGGAGGAAAGTAGGGGGATTCACACACACCCCCCGTCCCGATTCCGCCCGATGCCAACGCACAAAAGC